TTAATATTATATATAATAATTTTAATTGATCAATTTTTCTGATGCAAATAATTCATTTTAACGTTGATAAATTTATTCTTTTCAGGAAGAGATCTTTGAATATTTGAAAGAAATAATTGAAGATTTCACCAGATTTCGTATAGACCAGATCGTTATATTACTTGAAATTATTTTTGTAGATAAGAAAATATTTTGTTTGGTGCAAGTTTCTGTATCAAACAGCATAAAGTTTCTTCACTCATCTCGATTCAATAAAATATAAGTGATTTATATATATAATTAATATTAAGATTTTATTTTAATTGGCCAATTCCTAATGCAAATAATTCATTTTCAAATAATTCATTATAAGTTTATTCTTTCCAGGAACAGATCTTTGAAAAATTTGAGAAAAATAATTGAAGATTTCTCATTGTTATATTACTTGAAATTATTTTTGTAGATAAGAAAATATTTAAGTGATTTAAATAAGTATACATATATATATATACATATATTAGTAATATTAAGATTTTATTTTAATTGGCCAATTTCTGATGCAAATAATTCATTTTAACGTTGATAAATTTATTCTTTCCAAGAAGAGATCTTTGAAGATTTGAGAAAAATAATTGAAGATTTCTCATTGTTATATTACTTGAAATTATTTTTGTATATAAGAAAATATTTTGTTTGGTGCAAGTTTCTGTATCAAACGGCATAAAAAGACACTCTAGTCAATACTTCCCCCTCTTATACATTATACATTCTCGCTTACTTTCGAAAACGTAGATAATCGCAATCTTACTCAAAACCCTCTTCTTTCTTTCCTCGAAATAGAAAAAGAAAGGGAAAAAAAAAATCACAGAGAAGGTCAGTGAAACGTCAAATTCAGACAGTGGGCTAAAAGAGGCGCTCGATCGGGGTCGAAGAGGAGGGTTGTTGGAGCAACCGCGGAAAAGTAGAGGAATCGACGGTGCACTTTATCGATGCCATAAAGACTAATATAATCCGGAGAAGGAGAAAGAGAGGGCGAGACGCGATAGACCGAACGAGGGAACTCGCACGAACGCACCAAACCGGGCTGTTTTTTACACGAAGTGGCTTTTTGCGGACGACAGGGCATTTAAGGGAATTGCTCCCCAGCGCCTTAGCTCGATCGCAACGCACCCCGCCACGCCACAGTGCCCACACCGTATGTATTATCCCGATTCTGATTCTTTGCTCCTTGTGTCAATCGTTGGAAAAATCGTTTCTTTCATTTGTTGCGAATTATTAATTTTTTTAAATATCGATTCATATATAAAGATAAATAGTATCATTGAAAATCATCTAATCCTGAATTTTGATTCGTTCTCTCGTTGCGAATTCATTAATTGTTTCCTTAGAATTCGTTTCATTTGTTTCTCTCGTTGCGAATTCACGATAAACGATGTATTATTGATCTCAATTGTTTTCTTAGATTATCAATGCGAGTTATATCTATTTTTAATTCAATTCTAAATTTTAGTCAAATCGTTTTGGTTAAAATCATTCCTTGAAAAAGAAGTTTCTTTCATTGAGTATTTACAATGATGGATCATTGATTAATTAATCAATATATATACGTAGTTAATTAATAAGTTTATCAGTGTTCTCATCAAATTGCTGCTAGTATCATTTAACTAGCCAAAAATATTTCTAGATTATTTCACACTTTTAAAAGACATCGATTATTAAAATTATCTGGAACAAAATAATTAACAATTAAAATACAAATAAATATATACAATTAAAAAACGCGCATATTATCAGAGAAAAGAAAAATCAACTTTACCCTAGTTACTTACAAAATTATTACCATCTTTAACGTTAACTTCAACTTAACGTCCCTCGTGTCACCGGCCTTAGCCCAAATCTTTTGCGCTCCCCTTTGAGAGCACCATCAGCATCGGCCGTGACGTCGCTATTCACTTCCGTTTCGCTCTCGGCAGTCGATATCGCCCGCTCCATCGCCCGCTCCTTTGT